TATAACAAGTCATCCAGGTAGGAGGCAGCACAACATGCTGGGGGAATAAGCAGTGGTAGTGGGGAGGGGTGGGGATGGTGAGGCGGGGTAACAGGATACCCACCTGGAAAGGTAGTCTGGCTCCAGGGCCAAGATGTTTGGATGTCAGGCTAAGAAGCTTGAACTTATGTCTGCGAGGAAGGGGGGGCGGGATTAGCAGAGTTTTTCTATTTAAACTTTAATTTCTTTATTACATGAGCAAATATATTTATTTTTGAAGAATTAGATAATAACTGATAAATTTAAAAAATATCTGTAATACCACCAAAGAGCCATTGGTAGCAATTTGATCTGTATGTTTCCTGAATTCTGTCTGTCAGTCGGTCCATCTATCTCTCAATCTTTCTATCTTTCATCCATCTGTATTTTAAATAAGACCATACTATATATACCATTACTTATTCAACTTTAAAAAAAATTTAATACAGGACAGGCATTTTTTCATTGTCAACAAACATATTCCTTGGTCTCATCCTTCTTATGGCTATACAGTATTTTATGGCGTGGATGCATATCCAGATTTTAGTTAACCAGTCTTCTGGTTCCTGGGGATTTGTTTGATTTTCAATTTTCTCTACCATAAAGAATTCTGTAACAAAAATCTTGTGTAATTTTCTGATTCTTTCCTTTGGATAAACCCATAAGAGTGTAATTTCCAGTTTCTTAGAATGTTGGATGTTTAAATGTCCAGGAAAGGCTTTAAATAGAGGAATGGCTATAAGATTTTTATGTAGAAAGATCATTCTGGCAGCTGGACGTTGGTTAGAAGTCAGGGCAAAAGCTGCTGCAAGAATCTAAGTGAGGGATGATGGGGACTTGAAGCAGAGAAATAAGAGAGAAATTTAGGAGACTAAAAATCAATAGAAATAGGGGATTAAGAGGTACAAATGTCCAGTTATAACATTTTTAAGAAATCAATAGAAATATTTGTAATTTGATATGGGTGACAGATTCAGAGAGTGTAAATGTGAATATTTAAGAGGAAATTTCTTAAGGCAGTGGCTTTAAGGCTCCTTTAAAAAAATGGAGAAAGGAAAAATTAGTATCTATTAATGTTATGGGCTTAATTATGTCCCCTCCCCTCACCAGATTCCTTTTTTGAAGTCCTATCTTCTAGTACTTTAGAACGTGACCATATTTGGAGTGGGGTCTTTAGAGAGGTAATCATATTCAAATGAAGTCACCAGGGTGGACCCTAATCCAATATGACTGGTGTCCTTATAAGAAGAGGAGATTTGGACACAGCTAGATACAGAGAGAAGACTAGGAGAAGACATAGGGATAGCCACATACAAGCCAAGGAGAGTCCTCAGAAATAATTGACCCTGCCGACTCTTTCAGCCTTCACAAACTAGTATCACTTAAAAAACAAAGAGAAGAGAGAGAAGAGTAGGTCATAATTTTAAAAAGGTATTTGAGGGCGCCTGGGTGGCTCAGTTGGTTAAGCAACTGCCTTCGACTCAGGTCATGATCCTGGAGTCCCGGGATCGAGTCCCGCATCGGGCTCCCTGCTCAGCGAGGAGCCTGCTTCTCCCTCTGACCCTCCCCCCTCTCATGTACTCTCTCTCATTCTCGCTCTCTCAAATAAACAAATAAATCTTTAAAAAAAAAAAAAGGTATTTGAATCCTCCTTCTCCACTTTTTTCTTAGCCACTAATGGGTTTGTAATAGTTCTGCAGAAAAGGAGCTCAGTGGTATAATCAAATTCTGTTTACTAAAGATATAAAAATAGTACAACTAATCAAATCAAAATGGTGTTATCAAAGGAATTCCCATCAAATTTTCTAACCATTTACTAGATAACTCTCTCATTTGATTAATTTTTTTTCTTTTTTTTATGAACAGTTGATCTTTGTAAATTTTCTGCATGTTCCCAAGGTTAAGTGTTTTAGTGTATAATTATCCTACATTGTGTTTGTGAACCTCCAACAAGCTGCCCTCCATTCTTTGTAGACAATTTCAGCCTTGGGTTTGTTTAGCTATAATTATTAACATATTTAAATGAAACTGCAGAATTCTGATGATTTATTTCGAGTTGATATGTTGAGATGTTTCAAGAGGAAATTAATGTAGCCAATAAAAGAATTTCTATAATCCTCAGGCACTTTAATATGAAGAATGTTATAGAATTTTGTTCATGAGATTATCAGAAACTTATTTATATCTGCCCCAAGTATTTCTGCTAAAACATTCTCTAAAGTGTTAGCAGTCAAGAAAACCTGCTACCTTCAGATGAAATTGACACATGACATTTTCCTTGTGTAATGGCTGCTACTTCCGGGGAGTCATGAGCTGGTTGGTTACTTTGGGTTCTAAAAGAGGGTCCGTAGGCTGTGGCCATTTCAGAAGAATCTGGTTCAATCATCTCTCAAGGAAGAATAGACTTTATTGGAAGCTGAAGGACAAGCTATTTAAGTTTCTTGGGAAAACACTGTGTTCTAAATTGAGCTCAGTTGGAATCTGGAGACTGGAAAGCTTTTTGAACTTCTCTGTGCCTTCTCTGTGCTGTAGAAAGTCGATGGTGGCCTGAGGCTATGATATATCTGTGACTTACGCTCAGGACATCAGCGTCTTACCTGATGGGTAATTCCATGCCACTAACATTTTCCAAGCACTCTGTGCCAGGTCATCTCGTGGGCACCGGCAATACCAGAAGAGAGGAGTCACTCTTCACTCAAAGAGCTCACAATATTACCAATACCTTTATCATTATCCACACAAAATGTGAGAGCTGGATGATACTCTGTAGAAATCATGTTTCCTGATCACATACACATAAGATATTTAAGAAATGCCGTATTTTCTATTCCTTTCTAAGAGTCATACCACGTAAGAAACAACATGAAAGACTCTACCGTAAAGACACCTACGTGACAATTTCTAGGTAAAATATCTAGAAACGTCCCGAGGAATACAATTGGGAAAATGCCGAGTTTGTGGTGCCTTTCAGTTCTGGGATTTCTGTTGCCCTGGGTCCTCCTGGTAGCTTTGTTGAAGTTTCATCTCACCTAATCTTTTGCCCAGTGTGCTCGGGTACTCAATTATGCAGCAAGTGTTTATATAGGCCAATCCTTTTTACAAAGATCCCAAGGGCTTCTTTGAATTCTTTTCCTGTTACAGGAGGTTTTATTGTTTCAAATATTGCTTACAGTCAGTGCGTCACTGGCTGGGAATCTTTGGTTAAACTGAGATTTCACAGTAATAGGAACTGATTGAATCTCTGGAGTTCGTTGTGCACATCATTGGTTGGGTTTTCACTCAGGTTTATAAGGATGATTACAGTCCTACTGGTTTTAACCTCTCATTAGACGATGGACTCCCTGAAGGCAGGGACTGAAGCTACTTTTTTTATCTGTATTCATTCACCTGCGTGTCACTAAATCCTTCCTTCCTTCTATAACACAGAGAATTTTCTATAACTGGTGTAAAAGGGTTCTTTCTTTCAAGGCTGTGAATTAGTGGCTCCTGATTGTATGAATGTGTTCATCAAGGTCATAGCATCTTCTCTCCTACCAGTTTTATCTTCAAGATATCCTCCTTTTCTTGACTAAAGGCTAGACAGAAGAAAGTTCTAGAACACCTCAGACTTGGCCATCTTTCTATTTTCTTAGCCTCCGTATGACTTGGGAATTGCTATAATAACATCGTCCCAATGTTATTTCCTGTTGTGTTTCTTGGGTCTCCAGCCCCCTTCCTGCCTCACCACCACCCACTCCTTCAAATCTCACATGAATAACTTGGTAGCAGCCTCTGAGCACTACACGAAGGTTAGCTAAAGACAGTGAAGAAGGAAAAATGAGAGTTTGAAACACTTGGAACTAATAATAGTGAAAACTGTGTGGACATCAAGATGGTTCTTCTCCCTCATCATCGCATGTTTTGGAAGCTATTTCAATCTGAAATGGCTCTGTCTTGGGGAGCACGGACAAGAGTCAGACAAGGCTGAGGATTTTCCTGTAAATGTCCCAGCAGCTTCCACTCAGTGAGTTGGATCTGCTTCATCCCAAATGAGGCAGCGTTGCTCAGCTTCCTAAGCTTGTGCTTGAGTCTCTCTGCGGCTCAGGGCATGGTCCCTTCCCCATTCATCCATTATTCATAATTTGTTCACTGTGACCTGTGGGAGAAAAGTAAATGAAGAAAAAGTGGCTCCTTCCCTCGAGGGGCTCACAGCCCAACGGTGGAAGCGGATAGCACAGCCGAACATGGTGGTGCTAAGTGTGTAAAAGGGAAAGGATGGGCTGTGAGGATGGGGCCTAATGTGGCCTGGGGATGGGGGGCTGTGAGAGTCAGTGTCTTCATGAGCTGTTCAAGGAGGGCTCAACACAGTTGTTCTGTCAAGAGGCAGATACTATATCATCTGGGCTTTGGGGGCCATATGGTTGCCGTCACAACTCTCAGCCCTGTCGTGGTAGCAGGAAGCAATGTCGGACAATATATAGACAAATGGGTGTGGCTGAGGCTGTGCTCCAGTAAAACTTGATTTATGAAAACAGGTAGATGGAGTCGGCCTGCAGGCCATAGTTTGCTGACTTTTATAACAACAAATAGCTACGTAATGCGTCCTGGGTGCCAAACACAGTGCACGCACACACGCACGTACGCACACACATACATACTCAACCCTCGGCACAGCCCTGTGATGCAGGTGTTATCATCTCCATTGGATAGTTGCGGGGTCTGAGGTATTAGCAGGTTAAACTTATCGGCGGGGGAGACGAACCATGAGAGACGATGGACTCTGAGAAACAAACTGAGGGTTCTAGAGGGGATGGGTTAGCCTGGTGATGGGTATTAAAGAGGGCACGTTCTGCATGGAGCACTGGGTGTTATGCACAAACAATGAATCATGGAACACTGTATCTAAAACTAATGATGTAATGTATGGGGATTAACATAACAATAAAAAATAAAAAAAAAAACCCCACAGTGAAACAGCTGATGGGCTGCTATGTCAACTCTAGGTTGGCCGGAGGGTCCACGCCATAAGGCTACTCTACGCCAGTCAAGAAGAGGAGGGAGTGGGTCTTGAGGCCGAAGGAACAGCAAGGCCAGAGGCCCAAAGGCAAGAGACGGTAGGAAGAGTGCATGAAGGAAAAGTGGGAAGCACAGAGTGGCAAGGAACGAAGTAAGAAAGGGGCAGATTGGCCGGGGCGGGGGGGGGCTTTGAGGGCCATGATGGAAAGCAAGGGCTGTGAAACATATCAGGCCACACCAGCCCTGGGGCAGGGCGGGGGGGCACTAACAAGTGATTTTGAGATTTGACCCTTCTTGTTTGCATTCCTGAGAGCGATGCTTTAGCTGGAAGGGGGCAGGAATGAGTGCCAGGTGCCTGCCGAGGCAGGGAAAGGGGGCGGGAAAGAGAGTCTTCAGGCAGATTCTGGTTTTCCTGAGGGCCAACACTGGTTGGGGGATGGCCTGATCCCAGAAGCTCTTGAAAGGTTGGGGGGCCATCTCAGCGGGTCCCACCCGGCTCCCTCCTGTTGCCAGCCTGTTTGGCTTGGCAGAGGTGAAGAACACAGTTTGCCCATAAGGCCAAAATTCCTCTGCCAGACATGCAGTTTAATAGCCATCAGAGCCCCGTAGCTGGGAGAGTTTATAAATTCCCATACTTCTTACATGCAAGGCACAAGACTGTTTATTGAGATTTTTTTTTTTTTTAATTAAAGCTCCAGCTCCAGCCCCACCCACACTGTTACCTTACTGAGTGAGTTATTTCTCTCTCCATCTTTTTAATGGGCTCCAGTCACCCTGGTCTCTTGCCTGAGGCGCGGGGAGAACTCTGCTGGAAATAAAAGTGTCCAGCTTGGAAGGAGCAGCCAGCTGCAGGCCGGGCCGGGCCAGTAATTGGCTGAGATGATACTGGAGGCTCGGCTAACAGGCCCAAATTGGTCCCTAATCACGTCCAACCTGGGAGCAGCTCACTTCCCAGGGCTGCCAATTTTCCTCTCGGAGAGACGAAGCTACTGGGCAGAGGTTTCCAGGCGGCCTGTACAAATGGCTCTACACTGGGGAAGGGCAGGAACACAAACCCTCTTCAGAATCCGTTAGAACATGTCACCGGCTTTGTCCTGGGAGAGCTTTGGCTTCACTCGTCCGGTGGTTTCCTGGTGCCCAGGCCTCAGCCTAGCGTCAGGGGACCCTGGAGGGGCTGGAAGCCTATGAGGCCAGCATTTCTGGCAATGCTAACAATCACCTCATCTCCCCCTGCATCCGCTGTGTGTCAGGGGGCTCTTCGCACACGGACTGGGGATGACTGCGTGTATTGGCCTAGCAAGTGTTATAATCCCTCATTTCCAGATGAAAGAAAATCCCAACTGTACGAATGAGAGGGAGCCCTCCATTTGGGGGATGAAGACACAAAAACTCAGAGAAGTCAAGCAACCTGTCCAGGGTCCCACAGCAGCTGGTCCTCTGGGAGCTGAGACTGGATGGACTCCAAGGCCCCTGGCTCTTGATCTGGGCTCTTGGTCTCTGGTGCTTTTTTTGCTAGAACAAGCAGACTTCTGGATTTCTGGATTTCTGGGCTGATGTACTCTGGTCAAGTGGGCCCTGGGCCTGGCTAAGCCAGGGGTCGGGAGTGGCAGTAGAGAGTTGGGTTGCTGGGACAGGCAGTGGGCTGTGGGGAGGGGACATCATTAGAGGTGAGGGCCTGTGGGTGTGTGCAGGAGTAGAGAGGTGGGCATTGTTGCAGGCAGCTAATCGCACACTGCCCCAGTTACCTAGGTGATGGTGGAATGAGGAGGATCTGGATAATACCAAGGCTGGGCCGGGTTTGAATTCCAATCCTTCACTGTATCCGGGGCTTGGAGGAAGGAGTCCTCCTTCTCCTGCTGGTTAGCTTCCTCTGTATCTGGTTCTCACCTCAGCACCAGGATGCTCCTTCCCTCCAGTTATCACCTCCATTTCCTTTCCTCCAGGAGTGAATCTGCTTATAGATTTCCCCTCCGCAGCTTGCCTTGGTGTCTGCCTCGGATTCTGGGACTTGGAGGACAAGGCCCAAGCAAGATAAATTCCATGTACGTTTGTTGATTTCCTGGTAAATGGGAAAGCTGTCCTGAGTCTTCACATTCATTAACTCATCTAATATGAGAGGTGGGCTGGCACTGGCTCAGGCTGGCTTGCAAGAGCCAAGTGCGCACATTCGGCATCTAGTGACGCCATATTGGCAACTTGAAGTGGCTGGGGTGAGAGTTTTGACCACGGGAGCCAGCAAACCCTATAAACCAGGGCTTTTTTCATTCAGAAGGCTGGTAAACATTTATTGGCACACCACTGTAGTCCTTTCTACAACTCAGTGAGACAAGTATTGCTCTTTTAAATTGCTTAGTTTTTCAAAACTGAGACTCTGCTGGCATAATTAATTTGTTCAAGGGCATTCAACTAGCAAGTGGTAGATTCGACATTTGAACCAGCACCAATCTGATCCCAAAGCCTTTGCTCTTTTCATGCTATTCCATTTATGATCCTGGTAATGCTTCAATTACATGTATCAGAGGTTGGAATTCCATTGGGTCAAGTCACAAGCACAAGACACATCTAAATGTTCCAGATACTTTCATACTCATATTACTTGAGCTTCACAACCCTCCTGTGAAGTAGGGAAGTATCATTAGTTCCACCTGAAGTTGAAGAAATTGATACTCAGAGAGGTTAACTAAATGTCCCATGGTTACACCTGTAATAGTGAACTTGAGGCTGGAATCCTTGTTAACGAATTCTTGGTTTAGAGTTCTTTCCATCATACACATGGCCTCTAACCTTGACAAAACAGATCCTAGCTAATTCAATGCTTCATTGAAATAGAAGTCTTATTTTCCTTCTGCTTTCTTTTTTTGAATACGGAGTACAACACAATGAAGGAGGCTCTTATGGATTTATTAGTAAGAAAGAAAAGATCCACACTAAGATCAGCCCACATCTAAGTCAGCCAAGTCCCTTTCTGGGTCCTAATCTGTAAGATGAGAGTGGAACAAAAGGAAGCAGTGACAGGAAGATAAGGGCCAGTCAAGAGAACTTGGACTTTCAGGGATGCTGGGATCCCTACTACTCATGGTCCTGGGTGGTGAGAAGTATGTTCGAAGATTGTTTGTGCAAATAGTTCCTTCCTATGAAGACTCTAATTCCCTGTGTTGTTTGTACAGGCCAATACAGGAAGGATACCCAGATGAGCTTTGGGGATGGAATCAAAATACACAACTGCAGCTCTGCTACAGATTGCCCCTGGGATCTTTGGCACCACCCTGGCTTCTCCGAACTCCAGTTTCTGCCTTTACGAGCAAAGGTGAAGAAAATGGGACGAGTGCATTTGTTTTGACAATTCAAGGAAATGGGATTACCAGGATGCAAAAGGGCATAGTGGGCATTCAATAAATGCATTCAACACATGTTTCTCAAACGAAAAGCCATTCCCCGGCTGGCTCTTGAAGTGTTAACTCTTGACTGCTCTTTGTCAAAAATCCACTTGACGTGGCATAAAAGGGGTTAAGTTTGATTCAGCAATCCAACCGATTGTCCTCTTTTTTGCAAGCCTGTTTAGGGAATGAGGCCATTCTGCTGCCACCTCCTTGGTGGCATGATGCCCAGCTGCTTTTTGTAGGCAATGGTGTGAAAAAGATTTTAATAGTCAGTCGTGCCCTAGAGTGGGCAGAGCTTATAATTTTCCATGACTTACTATGCTCAGCCCCAATTACTCTTGATTGAATATATATATTTTTAAATCACCTCATTAATAGTTGGTGCTTATGATTTCGCCTTCTATTTCTAATAGAAATCTACCATTTTTCATGGGATGGTTTCCTAGCCAAGTAGGGAAAAGACAGCCAGGATAAAAATTGGTCCACTGAAGATAGTTTATGGAGAATATGGGCAGAAAAATGTTTTCAAAACTAGTGTCAGGGACACCCCTGGGCCATTCTCTTCCTTTTTAATGAGTCACTATCAATGCCTGTCTGTCTTAACCATTCTGTGAATCTTTCAGCCCATGAACTACTTTATTGGTGCAAACTCGTGAGCCCGCAAACTGCAGGGAAAAGAGATTAAGAGAGTTCATGGGTATGAAGTGCTCCCAACTGTGTGCAACATGTGGAAATCATTTCGTCAGTGCTCAGACACAAGGACCTCCACTTGGAGTTTACATGGATAGGCCTTCTGCAAATTGCCGTGATAATACAGTTTGCTGGCCTTGCAGCTTGCCGTCTTCGTATTTTCACGTTCTCCACCTCTCCTGCACCTTAGCTGGGTGCCTCTGTGCTCCCCATGTGCTTCCCATAAAATCCTGCTCTCGAGAAAAGCTCTGATGGATTTAGTCAGGGTGAGGTGTCAAGGAAAGATACTGTTTGTTCTGTCTGATCCCTAGGTGGGGATGGGGTTGGAACCGGAGGTTTCCCTCCAGATGGCACATGCCATTGGAATTGCAAGCTCAGTTGAAGGAATTCAGTTCTTGGAAAGGCAGACATAGTTTGAGGAATGGAATAGGAGTTAACCACACAATTCCACTGGTCACTGCAGATAGCCCCAGGGGCTGGGCAGGTCTCATTGGACCAACAGGGAAGGAAGCAGCATGAAACAAGATCAGCAGCATCCCCCCCGCCCCGCCCCCGTGCCGCACACCCCAGTAGCCTCAGCCCCTGGTGAAATAATACATTCTTCTTCTAGGCCTTGGCCAAGTGAGATGCCTTCCTAGCACCCTTTGGATGCCTCTAGAATCTTTCCCAGTAGAGCTTTAGAAACATACAGGAAGTGTCCAACCAGGCCGAATCTCCTGGGCTTTCTGGATTCTGCTCCAGCCTTGATGAAACACTTTTCACAGGGCTTTGTGATGTAGCATTTCTATGTCATCAGTTCTCCAAATATGATCAATCCCAAGAAACCAGCAGAAGGAATCTGCCCTCCCAGCACCGCTTGGGTGTAGGTTTGTACATTAGGCTCAATGCCCTTTCTTCCTTTGTCAATCCCTACCCCCGTGGGCTCAAGGCCACTGGCAAGTGAGATCTGAAGTCACTCCTGTGACCACAGGCTCTGTGTTGCAATGGATGCCCATCAGGGGGGTTTTGATGGGAGATGGGAAGTGAATAGGGCTGAGAAAAAACGATTATGACATCTGCAGAGTCTAGCTGGGAGGGGTGTGACATTCTGGGAAGGACACAGGCTCTTGAGTCAGGAGAACTGAGTTCAAATCTTGACTGCTCCCAACCCATGTGACTTGGACAAGTGTTTTCATCTCTGTGGACCTCAGATTTACTTACCTATGATGTAGGAATCGTTATCTCTGTCCTGATGACACCCAAAGTTTGTTTTGAGCATCGGATGAGATCCTGCCCTTTTGCTAAGATCAAGGGGGACCTGCCCCTTGGCCCTGGGCTTCAGCTGTCCAAAGGGGCTGTAGAGAATCAGCTGACATTGCCTGAAGAGCAGGGAGGGGGTGAACGTGACTGGCTGCCTTTCTCTCCACAGGCCTGTGGACCTGAGCAGAAAAGCATCTAGAGAAAGTCTGCCCTGGCCCCAGGTGAGATTTGCAAAGATGAGACCCTCGGGCCGAGTATAAGCCCAGATTGTGGAGGGGAAATTGATAGAAATTACAACTGACAGGTCACAGATTTAAACACTTATTGACTCCAGCTAACTATGCATACTTATTCAGGTGCTACATACACTTACTTTGATCTCACACACACACTCTCTCAAGATGTCACAAACGCTTGGCTGTTACACACACTATTATAAATACTATTTTTACATCCTCTGCAGAAATGTGGTAGAAGATATCTTCCTTTAAGTACATACTCTCATGTGAGCCAATCAAGGCTCTGGTGCCTGGACATGGGCCTCGTTCACCTTGGTCTCAGTGAAAGACACAGGGGTCTTTAAGAATGTCAGGTAAACTGTGTTGGACTAGGTTGGGGGCCACTGTCTCTGACATCTTCCTTAAACCTCACTGACACACCTGCATGCCCAGGAACCCCATGGGCCTTCATCTCCATGATATTTCTGATTTGAGCCATTCCTGTCTTCCTAACCAGGGGTTCGGGGCTGAGCATTCTCAGGGAACACTCCATGGTTGTATGCCACATTTTGTAGATTTGCTTTTTTTTTTGTAAGAGAGACTCCATAGTTTTCATCAGATTCTCAAAGATATACATGATCTGGAAATTCACCAACCCTTTGTCTACCATTAATGACAGAGAGCATCCCAGCCTGCAAAGGCCTCTGCCCTTCTGGTTTCCAGCCCAGCCCAGCCCAGCCCAGCCCTGGCCAGGGAGAACAACCAGCAAAAGAAACCAATTTATCCCTTCTTCCTCCAGTTTTTTTTTTTTTTTAACTTTTGTTTTCATTTTTGAGGTCTGATGCACATTATTCTAAACTGTTAAAAGGGGTGAGAACCTTCCCACACAGAAGAAAATGGAATTGGCATGCAAAGTAGACCCAGTCTTGAATAATTAATTCTGATTTGCATGTTCAGATGAGCCTGAGAGCTGCCCTGGCAGCCAGGAGGGAATTTCATATGCAGGAAGGTGGAGCTTGGCACGCCCAGTGGGGGAGATTCGGCTTCCCCAGAAACCTCCACTGCCTTCCTCAAGTCAATTCTTTGGCTTACTGGAGCTATGAAAACCCAGGGCCATGGGGAATTGAGGCCCAGGGAGGGGAAGTGTCTTGCCCAAACTCACACAGCAAGTTAGGGACAGGAAATATCACCTAGTGGTTAACAGCAGGGGCTCAAGGACTCTTGGACTACAGAGATTCTAAGCCCATTGCTTACCAGTTATGGGACCTTGGCAAGGTGCTTAACCTCTTAAAACCTCAGTTTCCTCATCTGTAAAGTCGGGGTAAATAAACCCTCACAGGGTTGTTGCAAGTACTCAATTCAATGTGCCTGATGGTTATAAGCATGATGGAAATGGTGCTTGCTCTTGTGGCCCTTATTATCAAAATCTTTCTCTTCCTCCTCCTCCTCCTCATCTTTAATGGTGGAACAGTAATTAGAACCCAGATTTCCTTATCAGCACAATTTATGTTCATTAAAGGCAGTGTAGTGCTTTTGTGAGCCTTAGTTCTTGCCCCTGCTAATTACCCTGGGATAGTATTGCCAGGTAACAACATCGATAATAGTAGTAACAGTACCATATACTCAGTGGGCACTCCTCCCCAAGTATTTTGGTAAGCACTCAACATGTGTTTAGGTTCCTAGGGGTGATGATTCACAAGGGTCCTGGGCCCCAGTGTTGAGGATGGAGAGAAGGCCTTGTGGGATGGGATTTTCTTGGAGGGTCTGATAAGCAGAGGCTATAGAGGCTGGAGCCTGACCAGAGCACACACCCTCCCTTCAGTCTGGCTGCAGAGAGGACCACTCAGATCATCCAAGAGCTCAGCACCAGTCTGACTGTCTGGTGGTGTGCAAGTCTGAGACCCACTGAAGCTCAGTGAGGAGAATGGAAACCACCAGTAGACCCCAGGTATGCATCCTGGAAAGGGGCACATGTCCTTACTGCTTTCACTCTCTGAATAGAAAAGGGGTCCCATGGAGGAAGGACTCAGTGTTGGATAAGTAGGTGAAAACTCTAGAGGCAGATTTTAGCTCTAGTTTAGTTCTGTAGAATAGTAACTCTCTATAAAGATAGAATGAACCTCACTGGGATAAATTTGCAGACACTGATAGTTTTTTGTTTGTTTTAAGATTTTATTTTAAGTAATCTCTACACCCAACACGGGGCTCAAACTCACAACCCCAAGATCAAGAGTCACATGTTCCACTGACTGAGCTAGCCAGGCACCCAAACACTGATAGCTTTTCAGTACAGTCCCTGAGATGTTGCAAAGAGGTTGGACAAGATGATGTTTGAGGTCCATAGATCCCTCGGAGTCTCTGTCTTAAGTCTCCAGACTGGCTGATGAGGCCCTTTTGCCTTCAGGAGGCACAGAACTAGGTCTTCTCCCCACACTCTAGAAGACTGAGGGGACTCCAGTCTCAGGGAGCTGAATTGCCCATGTATCCCTGATAAAAGACAATCAACCCTTTTTTCTGTATCATGAACCCCAAACTGGAAGGACATTTACAGATGTGCTATCCCCTTTGGGCCCAGGAACTTATTCTCAGAGGGAGTATAACATAAGGGAAGGAATACTGGGCTTTGAGTCAGACATCCTACATTCAAATCCCAACACTACCACTCAGGTTTTATAACTTTGGGCAACTTTCTAAACCTCTCTGCATCTCAGTTTTTTTTGGGTCCCATTACCCACTTGCTGCATCATGGCGAGCAGACATAATGTTTGTGTGGAGCCTGGCACAGCAGAGGTGAATTCTGTAATATGCACATTATAGATGCACATGTTGACAAAGACGTGGTGCAGACTGAATGAGAAGACACAGGGGGAAGGCAGAAATGTCACTTTCCTTTCCCCAAG